ATGGATAATAATATAATAGTAGGTCAAACAAGATTGTAGTTGCGCAATTGACAAGGGATCACAAAGCTGCTTTGGAAGAAGTTAGACAAGAGCTTAGGTAGTAACAGAATATTCTTACACGATTATAATCAGAACAATGGGAAACCTAACAAAGCAGTTTCTCTGTTCAATGAGGGCTTACTCTTAATGTGTTTGGTTACAATATTTTGATGCAAAAGGTAAAATGGTTGATAACGCATATCAGGTTTTTCTCGAAACAGCAAGGATTCAATTGCTTACACTGTGCTTGAACGGTTGCAATCTAACCACCTCTCACGGAAAATCAAGGATCCGTAGGAAGTATCCGATAGCTCAGCTTCTTTGAAGACCCGTAAATTAGTGAAAAGGAGATGATCCTTGGCTGAAGAATGGACTCCCCAGATACTCGAGTTTCTAATGAAAACTCCAACAACTATGGTCTTCTTTGTGTTGCTCTGCTTTGTGATCATGTTAGTTTGTCTGAGAACTAATGAGAGATGTGATTTAGAAGAAACCAGATGACGCAGTTTTGTTCATGACAAGTAAATTTAGATTTTATAATCTTTCTCACATTATGCATTTTAAATTATGCACTCTCATATGTTTTGCTAAATTTGCTGAGGATACTAAAATATGGACTGGACTCGCTGAGAATCAAGGTCAGACTTGAACCTATGTCAACTAAATGCACTTGTTGACAAGTTAATTTAAATGAGTTTAATTCAAACATAAATTACGAACTAAATAGTACAAGTCCATAATATAAAAATTTCTAGCAAAACATACATAAGAAAAACCAATTAAGTAGCCAGGGCGACCAATACTGATCATGTTGTGGAGGCTACCTTGGCCTAGCAAGGAATCCCGTAAAGCGACCAATATTCGGCTACTTCCCCCGCCTAGCAATGAATCTTTTGTGTTGGCGCTTGGAAAGAATAATCCAACAACGATCACACCCCTTAAAGTTAGGGAAATTAAAGGATTCCGATTGATACTTAGCCTTCATAACACAAAGAGGGCGTTCTCCCATGTAACCTCCACGGAAGCATAAGGCCTTTTGCTCTTCAACCACGCAAATGAAGGCAAATCTGTAAAAAAGAAAGGGTGGGGGTCAATCTTCTTCTTAAACTTTTAACTTGTCAAAACATAATGGAGACTAGGAGCATGCCACAATACCCTAAGGGAACACCGGTTTAAAATATAATTAATTAAATAAATACAAAAGCTCATTGGTTTATCGGTTCGGATTGAGAATAAACTCAACCAATAGTTTGTGTAGACAAA